AAATAGGAAAAAAACAACACATCAGAACAATTTTTTAAAAATTAACAAACCAACAAATTAAAACACAATAAAGAGAGAAAGATAAAAGACTAACAGCAATATCATAAATAGTATATAATGTAAGCTCACGTATATTCTCCGCATGAAAATAACTACACATGGACATCTTAAAAATTATCTAATATGTTATGAAGTAGCTTTGGTTTGGGGTTTTTTTTGCTGATTTTTTTAAATATGCAAAAGTCGCAGCCGCGATTCGCTGACCAAAAAAGCCAAAAATCGCGGCCGCGACAAACGCAGATGCTTGATAAAAGTGTTACTTTTTAAGTTGCCGCGCGTGTTCATGGCACTATCTTGGCAGATTCTATCTTCCTGTATTATTCCGTCTCCATTCTGTAAAAGCTCATTGGTGTTTTTATTACAGTGCCCCAACTGCTGGGCTTTCTGTGAGACTATTTGACTGACTTCGAATGAAACACTTGCCATATTAAGTCAAGATAATGGAAAATAGGATTAGGACCCCAAAGCAATGTCCGCTTGTTACCTGGCTGCGAAGTGCGACATCACTTGGTAGTGAAGAGAAACTAACGGGCGGAAGTTGCCCCATTTTCATACTCTCAGCCGTACGACAAATAGACTTTTTTTTTACTAATGTCAGTGTGTACAAGGTCTACTTTGACTACTTAGGATTCGTAGCGTAGACAGAAAGAGAAGGCGAACTGACGGAAATGGTAACCCTGTTGTGAGGAACTTACCAACTCCGTACATAACTGAGTAGACCATTCTCTTAGTTTGCTCACGGTCGTCTGACGTCACAGACTCTATAGGCTTGTTGTGCCTACAGAAGACAAATATTTCAGAGAACGAAAAATGCGGCACTCTGGCGCAGAAACTTTGCCAAAATTTTCTAAAACTTTACAGTGCAGACATAACAGTTTCTGTTTTTAAGAGTAGAGTGTGTTTGCTTGTTCAGGCACAAGAAACATTTCATCTGCCTGGCTACACGTGTGTGTGTAAAAGGTAGGGAATTAACTATGGTGAGGAGGTATACTGAAATTCCGACTCGGAACTTAGTACTTTCCAAGCACGTCTATGGCTTCCACTCTCAGTGTTGCCATATTTGTGGCAAACAACGCTTTTTATTTATTTTTAAGAACTGGGGGGGGGATTTACCTTAACACTGGGACCTTTTCCTAACTGGTAGAACGGAATGCGATATGAGGGTCAGACGGATTACATAAAGGCTACAGCGCACTGAAGATGGCTCAAGGACTGGTAAAACAGTATAAACTACATGTAATTTTATAACCAAAATACAGACTTACCACTGAGAGTAGAGAGAAGTGAAAATGTCCCCCGCTTGGGGCCTCCAGAACATGGACAACAGAGCACTGTCGCCTGACAAGTGAGCCAGGATCCGGAGCTCTATCTGCTGAAAGTCTGAGGGAGTAGGAAAAAATTACGGGTGTGGGTATGGAGTAAGGAGAAAGGAAAATACTAATCTGTAGTCCTCAGTCTGAACTCTCGTCCACAAAATTCTGTTTTCAACGTTTCGTTCAAGATAGGTTCTTTCTCTAAACGTTCCGCTTAAAATAGCATGGGGATGTAGGTCTTACCAAAGCGAAAATGAAACAAGCAGCTACATTGTGAATGAAATGTGTCCATCACAAATTAATGCTGAGATTTCTGAGCATGAGAAAAAGCCAGGGGTCGACAGAGCCACGGAGAGATGGGTTACACTTTTGTAGACCAATCATGAAAGCGTCTACTTTTACTTCTGTATTATATCCATTAACGCGAGTAGGCCTACCTATCTTTACACTCAATCTGACACATATGTTAACGCTACAGCGAGTATTCAAAATAATGAAGGAACCTCAAGTATGGATTCCCATTAACAACTTACCTGCAGAGAGGAATACATTGCCTTGGGCGGCCACGAAGGGTTCTCTGGCATAGATTTCTGTGCTACAAGTTTCATCATCACCTGATGAGAGGGGTCCAATGGTAAGAGAAAAACAACACCGCTGATAGAAGCATAGGTTGTCCAGTCAGTGTGCTTAGTAGAGACCTTACCACAACATCAGCAACAACAACACCTGCAGCAGCAGCCACAACAACAACAACAACACTAAAATACTAAAAGTGTGTCTCTCTCAGTGTTTTCTTATGCAAAGGAGGATGACATCAAAACATGGAGAACAATTAATGCATGTATCAACACAGTTTAGATTGCAGCAAAATATTTTAAAACTCAGCATTTAATACGGTGAAAACTTAATTCCAATATGATTTCATCTTTTTTTTTCGCATGTCTTGTACAATATTACTGGGAGGGAGGGGGAGGGGGGAACCCCGTAGTTTTATTTTTATTTTTACGTGGACCCTTCGAGTATTTTCTTGGATAAGCATTTTTCTTCCATAGCCAGTCTCTTTTTCAGATAAAAAGAGAATATGTTCAAGACAGATGTTGAAGCTAATATTCTGAAACTTCTTGGATTTGTGTGTGAGCTCTTCGCTGTAAGTTTGGAACAGACTTTACACGACATTCTTGGTCACACCACAACTCACTTGTCCAGGTCGTGACCAACGGGCCAATAGATTGGGAACAACCGAGCTTTCATAAGTCTCTCCTTACAGGTACTGCTAAGCCAACTACATATGTATGTAGCAACATGTACTGATGTGATATCGGGGTATTAGGAAACGTTGAGCAAGAAAGTCTGGGTTATCACGAATGGCTGGCGGAGATTCTAAGAGTACTATAATGTCAGAGGTTGTGGAAGAGGCGTCAGCAGCCACAGCTGTAGCTTCCATTCCTGCAGAAAATAAATAGTAAACTACAGATCCAAAACATAACTATAGCAGCCATTCCTTCAGCAAAACAGTAAGCTACTGACCCAAGACATAGCTGTTCTTGTAGTCTGTGACGACGACTGGAACCTTGGGCACCGCCTGGACGTTGGGCTGGCAGGAGGTGAGACGACCGGTGGCTGCGGCTGTCTGGTCCCAGTGAGTGGACAGTGAACCGTCACGGACACACGCCTTCATGCCGTCCACATAGGTCGATTTGAGTTTCTGGAGCTGTGAGCCAGTATGTTAAGCTGTATACAAAGTATCATGCTAGTTCCCCGCTAGGATTGTCCCTCAAAACCGAGATGTTACGTGACGTAATGGGCCTCTTCCTGTTAGTCTAAATTGTGCTTGTCAAGCTTTTCATAGCCAGCGCCCACTTTTGCCACCTTTAACAAGCCAAACTTTTCGTATCGCCCTCTTCGAGTACTTCCAAGTGGGGCAATAGATGATACTTGTCACTACTTGAATGATCCCCACCACCCATCAACTTACCAAATCGCCCACTGGTGAGCGATATCGCCCAGATTGGAAAGCAGTGGTCTTAATACGTGTAGTTTTACACGTGTATGTCTAGAATGTGTTTATGTAATCAAGGGTGGGAATGGGTGGTCATTAGACGATGATTTCCTGTGTAGATGAGAACGTGATGCCGATGTATTTGCCAGCTGACGTTGTTATCTCAGGTGATTGTGTGTGCAGATGTGAGTAAAGGAAAATAAACTTTTTTCTTTCACTACGCATCTGCAGAAAGTGATATTATTATGCAGAAATCAATAAGATAATCCAACATGTAACTACTTGTGTACAGACCCCAGCAAGCTTATAGGAGCAAAGTATTTGTTGTCGCCTTTGGTTTTGTTTTCGTAGCTGTTGTAAAGGTGGTGGTGGTGGTAGTTGTTGTGGTGGTAATGGTGGCGGTGGTAGTAGCGGTGGTAGTAGTGGCAATGGTGGTGGTAGTAGCGGTGGTAGTGGTGGTAGTTGTTGTGGTTATTATTGTGATGGTGGTGGTAACAGTTGTTGTTGTGGTAGCGATTGTGGCAACGTTGGTTCGTGTGGCAGTGCTTGTATTTTACATCAGTCTCAGCCTGACTGACCTGCCTGTACTCCAGTACCAGAGACGGCAAGGGATGAACCTCGGCCAGTAGGCGTAGAGTAGATTCCCCTGTGGACTTCTCCTGACATACGCTTGTCTTTCCTATCTTTACCTTACCGGTCAGTTTCTGGTCCAGTTTGAGCTCCTCATACAGAACCTGCAGACAGTATCCATGGCGTTAAGGTGCTGTCGCTTTTTCCCCATTATTATTATCATCATTATTATTATTATCATTATCATTTTCATTATCATTTTCACCATCATCATTATCATTTTTATCAATATTTTGATAACATTAATGATTTACCAATATGACTGAAGTTATTTTACTGATGGGTGAAACGAGGGAAGAAAATTATCACCCTCATAAATATTATAATTCTTCCTCCTTACATGAAAGACACAAATAATGTTAAGAAGCACCTCTGTGGTATTGTCTAAAATTTGCAGGACACATTACATACACAGATATTTAAATCAAGAAACTTTGTAAAGACTTTTGCACTAGCACGAAACAGGGGCGGGCTTAGCCGATTTGGTTTGGTAAGCTTTGTATTTGTATTAAGAATATAGAATAGTGAGATGTTTGAAACTCCAGTGCCTCAGATTCTGGTGTCGTTTGGATTTTTTGTTGTTGAAAATAGCAAGAAATAGAACAATTTTATTTTTGTTTGTGGGGACGGGTCCATGGCACAACTAGGTGTATGAAAGAATCACCTGTCGTAGCTGTGGGTGGCTGGTAAGCGAGAACGTGTGACCAATTTCCTTGTACACCTGTTGTTCCAGTTTTTCTAGCTTGGTCTGCCCAGAAAAAGCACGAAACATTTATTCAAAGATTGAGTAAGGTTCTGTGAACTGGATTCAGCTACAATAAGCAGCTATCCTGGACGGAAAGCATCAACACAAATTCAGTGTAAGGTAGATAACAATTGAGAAAAATTGCGTGTTCTGTATTTTACCCTTGTTACATCCCTTTGTCTATTACAATTACTGCTATCAAAATTTCACTCTGGTTTTCTTGGGGGTAAAATATAAGTACTGCTTTGTATTC